ACAGCCAGAGCAGTGCATATCTGGGTGATGGGTGACTGACTGCCATGCTGGGCAGGGACAGGACGCGGTCAGCGCCATGCAAGGATGCTTGCCAAGTGATGCAGATTAAAGTGCGTGCGGCTTACTCCTGCAGCTTTTGCTCCAGCGACTGCACTTCGGGCCAGCGTGTGGCAGACACTTCATCGGTTGTAAGCGTGAGGAAGAACGACGGCATGCCAAAGCGGTCCACCATGCACAACAAATCTTGGAGGTTGCTGCGGTGCCATGCAGGCGTGTTGGGCAACGTTGCCGGCAGCTTGTGCTTGAGAATGTGATGGATGGCATCCTCATCGCTCGCGTTAGGGTTCTGAGACTTGTAGTCGAGGAGCGCGCTTTCCAGCACAGCCTGTACATGCAGGCGGGCATGATGGTCATGTCCTGAAGTTGTACATGCATGTTGCTGCTTGGCATCGGCGGAATCCGTGTCCAACATCCCTGCATGCATCCTTTGCAGCATCACTAGCATGCTTGCTATGCACTCACCTCTGTATTCTGCTCTTGCAGCCGGGCGCTCTGGCGAAGAACATACATGAGCAGCAAGTACGGCTTGCACAATGTCCACACACTGAAGAGGCACTTGGCACGGTATGCCAAGTACTTGACCAAGGTCGTGCCGCCCATAAATGCGCCCACACCAAAGGGAAACAGATAGGGGAACATGGCCATCTCCGCAGACAGGCCAAACTGATAGTCCAGTGGGGTCCCGTCCGCAGCAACAGCCAGGTTGAGCTCGGGCCGAGTGGGCGACCGCGGAACCAATGTTCCCGCGGTGTACATCACGGGTGCATGCTTCATGGCTGCACGCTGGATGGCAGGCACAACCACCGATATGAGCGAGCGAGCTGCCTCTGCTGCTTCTAGGGTGGCCAGCGCAAGTGGTTTGCAGGCTTGGTCACTGGCGACAAAGGATTGCACATCAGCTGGACAAAGGTATGGCAATGGGTGATTGGGCGGGACTTGTTCAGCAACGGTGAGGAACTCCCTGACAAGCGGGTTGTGCTGCACGCTCCATCCCAGCACCTCCTGCAGTGCCGGGGGCAGCGTGTTGACACGGCGTGTGGAGTCGCGTGCCCAATCCAGGACCAGCGCTTCCATGCAATGCTGCTGCCGAAGCTTGCCGGCAACAAATCCAAAGGCCGCTGAAAAGAAGCCAAGTCCAACATCCACTAGGCCTATCCGCAGTTGGTCAATGGCATCCAAGGACACGATAGCCTTGGTATAGTCTGGTGGATGGAAGACCAGATACTCTGCTCGCTCATTGCCACTGTTCGCTGGATACAATGGAGCACAGTGCGGACACAGGTGCCACAGGCCTTCGGGTGTTGTTGTGCTGCCGGCATGCAAGCTGTTGTGAAATGAGTATGGCGCAATGGCAGCACCGACAGGCTCCGCAGTGGCCCAGCGCTGAAGGTCCTTGTGCAGGTCGGTGCTGGTGACACCACACATGGCGCACACCACAAGTGCACCGGCCAGCAGCATGCTTGTGACAGCGCTCCAAGCCGCGAGCCGGTCAGAGATGCCAAGTCTGTGGCCGGGGCCACTGCGCCAGGATGCTCCCAAGTACCCAGGAATGTGTTGCTCAGCATCTGTTACAGCAGGACTGGGCAATGGTCCGTCAGATGGTCGATGGTGCTGCTGGCGTGTTGGCTGTGCAGCGGCCCGGCTGCGCTGCTGTGGCTGGTGCTGCTGCTGACGCCTTTGCTGCTGCTCCTGCCGCTGCCGCTGCGGGGGCTGCTGCTGCAGCTGTGAGTGTTGCGATGACTGCCGTGTGACTGCAAGCAGCCGCCGCACCTGAACCGCAGGTTCGTGCTGATCAGCCCATTCCGCCAACACCTGCTGCACGGTGACCTCAAAGCGGCTGTCCATCGCCTGCAGGACAGCACACACTTGACCAGCCCGCTCGGCTGACGGTGTTTCTGACATGCAGAGGCCAACCGCGCGACAAGCCGCGACAAGATGCTGGCGGCGTTGCCCTGTCCACAAACCCGGCACCATGTCCAGCAGGCGGTAAGGCAAGGGGGCGCCAGCGAGGCCCGCCTGCCGGATGAGGCACACTTCTGTTGGCGCTGAGCTGGAGCCCCAGTAGCAGATCTGCAGCCCAGCCGAGTCAAACACTGTGATCGCAATGTTGAAAGCATGGGCAAAGACCGCCAGCTCCACATCGCCTGGCAGCAGCCGGTGCTGCTGTAGGGCTTCACCATATTGCGTCGCCGTGCAAGTGCTGGGGAGGCTGCTGGCATGGGCGTGTAGCACTTGAAAGCGCATCGACTCCCAAGACTCGGCAATGGCGGCCACCACGGTCGCCAGCAGAATGTCAGGCGCAGGCACATCAGTGGCGCCCGCGGCAATGAGGCCATGTCGCACGCAGTCCAAACACGTTGCGTGGGCATCGAGCGGCACGACAGCACAGTTGCTAATGTCGCTGCGAGCATATAGGGGCACCCGGAGATGGCCTGCATAGCAAGCATCAGCAGGGAGCCTCGTTATCAACATGATGCGTGTGGACTTGGATGTGGCTGTAAGCAGTGCCTTCAGAACAAGCCTCACTGTATTTCTGCGATGTGCTGCATATCTTGTCACACTCCGCGGATCACATGCTCACATTGGCACACGCTTACCGGTGCTGCTGGATGGTTCGGCATTCCCAACGCGAACGACGGTTGGCTGTTCATCGATACGCATGGATGACATGTTGGTCGTACCGGTATCGCTGACGTCGCCACGCACGCAGCCATCGTGTGTATTCGCCACACGGACTTCTGCGGCACCCTGCACACCTGTCGATTGGGGTATTTTGCAGCAGACAGTTACGCAGCCATTGCAGCTGTACGCAATAGCAGCACATGCGCAGTGAGCCCCGTTCCCATGATGACACGCATTGACTTGTGGTGGCAGTCAGCAGTGCCTTCACAACCGCCCCAACAGCATTTCCGCAAATGCAGCACAGCCCGCGACACTCCGCAAATCACATGCCCACCCTGGCACGCGCTTACCTGTGCCGCGGGATGGCTCTACATTCCCTACGCTATCGCGGGCTGGTTGTGAATCGACGAGCATGGATGATGTGTCGGCGGTACCGGTCTCGGACACTGAGTCATGAACAGGATGGGCTGCACGAACGACAGTTGCACCATGCAGACCTGTCCAATAAGGTCATATGCAGCGGACGATTCAGCAGGCGATGTAGCTGTACTTGAACAGGCTTGGCGGTTGGAATACACTCGTCATCACACCAAGTCGCCAGGATAGGACATGTCATCAGTGTTCACGCTTACTTACTTACTGAAACAAGGCGGACTACTGTGAGCTATACCAGACAACAGGTCCTAAGCCACTGCCTCGACCTTTCCATCTTGCCTTACCCTGTAAACGCAGACCGACACCCGTCGACCAGAAGTGCGCCATGTCTTCATCTGCTGGCGCACATGCAAGCTTAGTGGACCAACTCATTTCATTCTCGGCTACCCTGCCAATGCGTACCTGATACGTTGGCAAAGTGGCAGAGTCGCTGCACCTCGGCTTGCGTGCGCACTGCGTAGGATGGTCGGCCACGCCGACCAAAGCTGCACGTGCGCAACTGCAGATGTTCCCGGTGGTTGTGCAGCAGGTCTTGAGCCTGCTGCTGGCTCAAGTCCATTCGGAGCTGCTGCAACACGGCTGCCGCAGGCACGGCCGTATGCGCAGCAAATAGTTGTTCCAGGTCAGCAGCACCGTCCATGTCGCCGACAAAACTCTGAAGCCCTTTTCTGTTTTTAAGTTTACTTGTGTTTTGGTATGTATTCTTGCGAACATTATATTTAGACACCACTTCCAACAAGGTGCTGTATACGTTGCGCTACCAAAGGCGCGACCGCTTACTTGCACAGCAGTGTCGTTTCGCTCGACGCTTTCTCTTCCTGCGGCCGTGCCTGAGCCAAGCCTTGCAAACTACGTTGCATGATTTTTTCCGTTCTTTTCATTGCGGCACAGGAGCCCCCCACATTTGCGGCCTGCATGCCGCGTGCGGCTGTGGCCAACAGCGCGACGGTCGCGCACCTCGTCCTTTCTTCGCCAAGGAAAATTATATACGCTTGTACAGGCGCATTTTGCGAATCGAAAGCGCGCATCCGCGCGGCAAAATTCGCTCCTGGCTTTTTTGGACGATGTACGAACCGTTTATTCGGCAGAGTACGACCGCTCACATTTCTGCGAGGGGCTGCTTAATGAATTCGTACGAATAACACGGAGGACACGTTTCACGTTTTTCACGTTTTTGTGTTACAAGCTTCAAGCTTGTACGGTCCAAACGAGCCAAGAGGCTCATGAACCGCCGAACTGGAAACAAGAACATATAAAGGTAGTAAATTAACCTTACTGTAAAAACATATTTAATCATCAATAAATTGTAACCTGCATCTTCTGATATGATCCAAAACATGTGCTAGTCCGCGTTGGTTCTCAACGCCCATAACGTCTATCATGCGGTCCTCAGGAGACATTCCAAGCTCAAATAGCTTGGTGCGAATATTCGCGTACACAGGGCACTCAAGCAAAACATGACGCTCGTCCTCAACTGCTTGACGGTTC